TAGCCGAGAGTATACTATGGGATTCCAACAGGTTAACCAACCACTCCGATATACAACGATTGGTGCGGTGGTGGCGATTGATAGTATCACAAGCATATGATCATGCGTCGTGCATGTCTGCCAAGATCTTATTCCACTGATAAGCAATGTAAGTAGGACAAGAGGGCAAAAGTTCGGCAAGCTAGACATTCGGTTCGGTTTGTCTAAATGAGGGCTGATGTAATTGCCCAGTTGCCAACCTGAAGAGACGTCTGGCAAGCCTCCCGGTGAAGATCGGGGAAAATCGTCAGTGTACCGAGGCAAGATCAGAGTCGACGCAAGTACTCCCGAAGAAGCGGCAATCCAGGATGGAATCACGTCACATCTGACTTATGGCAATGTGATCTATCTGGCTCCAGTGGTGGTCAGCTAGAAGAGGATGCGAAGTAGAACATCTGCGCCCACTGTGTCTAAATGCGATCCTACTAAGAACCAGCCGGTGTTCTGTACACAATCGCAACAAACGCTCACCGTTTCCATTCTCTTTGGAGTAAGCCCATAGCTGCAATCTACCTGAGATTTTGAAGAGCTCAGAAAATCTACTTGCGTATTCCTACCCTCCGCAACAACAACGATTTTTAAGCTGGTAGCATTGAGAAGCAACTTTTCATTTCGTCGTAGAAGGAGCATTTGACAGCATCAGAACTGCAGTCAGTGGGGGCTTAAACGGAAATTACAAATAACGTCGTCTTCTATTAGTTTGTAAAACAAACATAGTTAATAACTTCAAACGGTCTGCACTCGAGCGGCTGCTCAAGGAAATCCAATTAACCAACGAGCACTCAGACTTGGAGCTGTGTACAATGCCTACATCACCTTGACCGGTGGTTGCTGCAGCAGAGCTGCCCGAGGCATGCAACCAATAGCGAGACATAAGCCGGGAACAGTTAAATAAACATCCCCGCGACGGTCATTGATTCATGGTACTGAGATGCTACATACGTCAATCCCCTATGTGTCCAATGTACTTGCGAGAGCAGCCCGTTGATCTACTTGTCTTGGAGTACAAACGTTGAACGCTGCCAGGGAAACTGGACAGTGTGGCCTTATTAGGAGCTGTTGGTGAGAAGTGCCCAACGGGTAGTGCGGAAAAATAGCTTTAGATATCAAGACTCCATTGGCACAGTAGTTGCTGCCTATAAAGCTAGAAAGTATAGAAAGAAGTATAGTAATGGGGATTGGGAGTGGAGCAAGTGAGAAGAGTGACAAAGAAGTAGGCCCCAACCGTAGGAATTTTTCTCTTGTCCGCCATGCTCTATGCAGCAGATAAGGCAATCCTTGATAAGCTGCGCGATGGTCGAGACAAGATGTGGTTGAAGTTTGAAGAAATAGTCATGGTGATACGTACATGTCCCCTGCAGCGATGACGCAGCATACGCCCTGGGAGATTTTGCCATCGGTATCGAAATCGAAAACTGTTATTTTCATTGAAATAAAGGCACGGTGAAAAATCCGCCGGTGATCAAACATTGTCCCTGCCCCCAAATTTTGCTATTTCACCTAACCAATCAAAAACGGTTAAACGTTGCCTCGAACCTATATTGTCTCTGTTAATCTACCTCTCATCATTCATGCGTCTTGATAGGGATACTCGTTTCAAAACGATCAAAAAGGTCTTTGTGCCCATACCGCGAGAACTGAAGCATGCTTATTCGACAGGACTGCCGTGCACATTGATTCGCTCTGATGAACCGAGTGGACACTATACACTGTGTAAAACTCCAGGCGTGAGCAACATTTGTCAAAGTAATGCAGCAGCCTGTGGCTCGCGTTACCTATTCAAGATGTCGTTTCATCATACATATAACAGCAATGCAAGTGAAATAATCGGACAATTCATTCGTCTCTCACATTTTCCAATGAATGCAATCACACGGTTTGTGCCTATCGTACGACGAAGTTAGAAAGGTAGCAATTGAATGTAGCATTCAACACTACTCACTCAGGTGAACAGACTGTTCGTGGACTCGAAGATTGCTTAGAAGCGAAAACGTTTTCTCACAGTAGTTGCATTTATGGGGTCGCTGATCTAGAAGGAAAAAAGAAGCACTTGTTGGTTACGCAAAGCATAAGAGAATAAACCACGCTACAGAGAAAACGTAAGATGTTACCGCAAATACAATCAGAATGATCTGCTGTTATGACCCAAACGCTGATGAATGAGAAGAATGTCCCGTTTGAAACAATATACCAATCTTTTAATAGATAATTCGGGAATGAAAACCAGTCAGACTTGTACTTTAGTTCACTGCGATACGTCAAAGCATTCGCCTAACACATAGTGAACTCAACATTATGACCACTCATTCACATGGGCAGGTCTATTTCAGCCCACTGAGTACAAATTCCACGATGCCGGGCCAACTTATGAGGACTCAATGTCGCGTGCACATAAAGTACACAGGAGTCGTGGCGAAAAGTAGGTAACGCTTCACACTGGAAAGCTGAACTCACACCAGGGAAATATGGTGCCGCATGCATTGTGTCGCGTAAGATAAATTTCACATTTTGATACTTGCTGAATAAAATACGAAAATGCCGGTAGTTAAATATGCTAAACGACTCGGGCGTTTAATAAATACTAGCAAGGTCAACGCACATCAGTAAAAGATGGTTCGACGATACGTTTAATTGTTTGTTACTTGCTGAAATCGGTTAAGATGACCCGACCATTTATCGACTATAGCTGCGCGCAGTTGTTGAAGATCCGGCTGTATGCGCTGACCACAACATATGGTCCCTGATGTGTACGGACAACATGCTGACTTGCATCTGATCTAGCCAATGACTGAATCATGTGCCGGCAGTCGATAAGTCGCAAAGATCAGACAGATGAAAGGTCGGTGGCAATTGTAGTAATCCGCAATCATCTGTTTGTTAGTCAATGGTGTAAGTCCTCTACAATCACTTGGAACAGGATAGGTGAAGGAGGGAATAAGGCAAAATTCTTTTGCAATAGGCCACCTAGAACATCATAAACCAAACAGAGAGAAATGCTGACACCAAGACAAGACACAAATCGCCAGGAAACAAAACTAAAAGAGTAAAACATTAAGTTCCTGTCAGGGAGAGTAAAAGCACCCAGGAAAAGTGATCAATTCTATGGGAAAACGATTCAAATCAGTGGTGTACTAAAAAACATCCAGATGTTCCAAATGCTACATACGTCAATCCCCTATGTGTCCAATGTACTTGCGAGAGCAGCCCGTTGATCTGCTTGTCTTGGAGTACAAACGTTGAACGCTGCCAAGGAAATAGGACAGTGTGGCCTTATAAGGAGCTGTTGGTGAGAAGTGTCCAATGGGCAGTGTTGGAAAATAAATTCAGATATCAAGACTCCAGTGGCACTGTGGTTGCTGTCTCTTAAGCTAGAAATTATAGTAGGAAGTATAGTTTCGGGGATTGGGAGTGGAGCAAATGAGAAAAGTGAGAAAGAAGTAGGCCCCATCTGTAGGAAATTTGCTCTTGTCCGCCATGCTGTGTGCAGCAGATAAGGCAATCCTTGATAAGCTGCTTGACGGTCGAAGCAGGATATGGTTGAAGTTTGGAGAAATATTTATGGTTGTACCTATATGCCAACCCCAGCGATGATGCACCATACTTTTTGGGAGACGTTGCCCTCGGTATAAACCACAACTGCTATTAGTGCCACTTTCGGAGAGGTAGGTTGGGAAACCCGGTGGTAATCAGACATTTACCCCTGCCCCCCAATTTTTGCTATTTCATCTAACTAATCAAAAATGGCTAGACTTTGCCTTGAACCATTATTGCCTCTGTTAATCTACCTCTCCTCATTCATGATATTCGTGATACTCGTTTCAGAACAAGCAAAAGGCTGTTGGTATCCCATACCGCGAGAGCTGCCGCGCGCTTACCCTACAAGGCTGATATGCGAACTGAGTCGCCCTGATGAACCATGGAGAGTTTATACACTGTAAAACTTTAGTGGTGAGCAACATTTATCAAAGCAATGCAGCAGCCTGTGGCGCGCATTACCTATTCAAGAAGTCGTCTCAAGGTATATATCGAAGTTATACAAGTGGAATGATCGGACATTCGATTCGTATTTGCACTCATACATTTAGTGTCTATCGTACGATCAAATGAAAGAGTTGCAACCGATCTAGGTATTTAACGCTCTACTCACTCAGGTGAACAGACTGTTCGTGGATCCGGAGTTTGGCTAGAAGAGAAAACGTTTTCTCACAGTAGTTGCATTGATGAGGCCGCTTTTCTGGAAGGAAAGATAATAACTTGATGATTGTACAAAGCATAGGAGAATAAACAACGTTACCGAGAAAAGGTAGTGGGTTGCGGCGAATGCTATCAGAATGACGACTTACAAGTGACCAAACAAACCGTTGAAAAGAAACAGCTTTACTTGACACTTCCATTCAAAGGAAATAGTGCGGCTGAAACATGCACACGCCGACTACAGCAAAGCTGCAAAAAGACCTTTAATGCGGCTCAACTGAATGTGATTTTCACGAGCAGACCTTTACTAGTTCCGAGATTCAAAGACCGAGTGCCTGATCATCTCCAATCGATGTTAATCTACCGGTTCACCTGCCCGTGCGGGGCCAGGTATTTTAGACGGACGGCCAGGTATCTAGGTAAGAGATTTAAGGAACACCTGCCAGGTTGGCTCTACAAGCGCGAGAATAGAACAAACTACCGTGCGATTACAAACCATCTAATAAACACAGGTCACCAGATAGACAAAAGAACAACCTTTCAAATTCTCTACAAAATACCATCAAGACAAAATCATCGACTAAGAGCAAGCATACTCTCCACCACTGATGCAATATGCATACGTCTAACAAATCCGGACTTGTGTGTTCAGAAGAAACTAATACCAACACTACAACTTCCCTGACCGACCAACTGTCGTGAAGGAAGTAATGGTACTCCGAAAATTCACCTGACCTCAGTCACGTGATCAGATGAAGGCCATCACG